GGGTGGGGGTGGGGAGGAGGGGGGCAAATTACCTCGACTGTAATCATTCAGCTGTCAGAGTCGTCCCTGGCCATGCGAGCCGCGTCAAAGCTGTGGACTCAAACTGAAAGTGCGTGTCACGTTTAAAGGAGCAGTGTCTCGGCGCAGTCACTCGTGAACACATGCTCTGCCAAGCGGTGACATCACACCTCGCCTGTTGCCATGGGCACCCATGCTGCCCTTAGATAAGTGCTGGCCCTCTTTCTCTCAGGGTTGCTGAACCGAGTGACAACTCTGTCACACGTCTGACCAGAACCACCACCACCACCGCTGCGGCGGCAGAGCTGAGAGCTCATCTTCTGTTTTCATGCAAGTATTGATTAGGAGCTTTTTTTAWGTTGTTTATCTATATTCATGAGGCCCGACGAGCACTTTTAGACCAGGAGCTGAAGCCAGAGTGCACGCGGGATTAAAGTTTAATTTGCTGCTGAATGGCAGAAACACACGATGACACTGAAACAGCAAGTGGTGCAGTTTGAGAAAGCTTGCAGAAATAGAATCCACAATTATTCACTGTGATGACACAGCTGACAGTGCTGGTAATTAAATTAAACTCTGCTGTAATAAACTGCAGGACTGTGTTTAAAAGATTATCTGCAGCAGCTCCTGTTTACTCTGATTCTAGTGTCTCCTTTAATTAGTCGAGCTGACAAGATTATGATAATTGATAAAATCCCATTCATCCGATGCGAGCGGCCGTTCCTGTTCCTGCTAGAATGATCATTCCAGCCATCAGTTGGGTAAAAATCAAATGTTTTCATGTTTGCATTAGACGCTTTGTGGGCTTGAGGAAATCAGAAACGCACCGACGTCAGACATCTCGGGCACGGCGGCCATATACGGGTCCTTGGTGAAGCGAGGCTCGTTGTCGTTGATGTCGTGGATCTTGATGATGAACTCGGACTCGCCCTCCAGCGCCTCGTTGGTGAAGCGGTTGACGGCTTTGGCATGAAGGATGTAGTAGGCCTTCTCCTCCCGGTCCAGCCTCTTGGTGGCGTGGATGTCCCCCGACTTTTCGTCAATCTTAAACAGGGTGCCTGCTCCTTCACCGGTGAGGACGTACTTCACGCTGCCATCTCCCCGGTCTCCGTCCGAATGAAGCTGTAAAAGAAAAATAGAAAAAAAAAGTCATATGTAAAACCCTGCAACCTCAGGAACAACAACAAGCAGCAGTTCCTGTAATGTTCATTTTAATAAATTTCCTCTTTGGTCCTTTCTGTTGCTAATTGTTATAGCACCGCTTCATACTCCGGTTTACAAGAGCTTTCACATTTGCCTAATTTGCTCTYATGAACGCCGAGCTGCAGCTACACTCTTTCAGTGAAAAATAAAATTATGATAATAAGCAGAAATTATGTCACAGGAAAGAAACAAACAAACTGGGGGTGAAAAAAAGAAACTTTAAATAGTTGAAGTGAAGAGAAGGAAAAAAGAGAACATCACACACATCACTGACTGGATGACTGACAAAAACACATCCCTGCCTTGAACACTTTGCACTGAAAAAATGTCAGTGAAAGCACTTTTCAAAGCAGAGTCATAGTTACACACACACAYAYACACACACMCYSWSACACACACACTTATCAGTGTTCTGACCAATCTGGGCCTTGGCAAATAAACACTGACAGCTTTGATCGAATGTGTTTGGTGTCGTTCAACAGATCCGTATCATCTTTAGTAAACTGTCACGGCGTTACGACGGCACTCGCTCGTGATCTTACCTCCTCTTTGTGAAAGCTGCCAAGACAGGAGCATTTAAAATGCTGCGTGCGCTCCTGATTGTCGCACGCATGTTGTCACGCATCCCGTCACGAGGGCCAAGGTGGCATTTTCACGCCGATGTAAAACAGAACGCCAGTGGCTCGACGTTCGGGAAAGAAAAGAATAAATAAATAAATAAATAAATAAATGAACCAGCGTGAATGAGCGCACGTCAGCCGCCTGCCAGTCCCCCTGATGGATCAGCAGCAAGACCCCATGACGCCACTCGTCTCTGGAGTTTCTCGATATTCTTTGCGTGGCCGTCTGAAGTTTAATTTTTCTCCTTCTTCTTTCTGCATGTACAGCAGCTTAAGATGCTCTGACATTTTAATTCCGCCACTAAATCCCCCTCAACATATTTATCTGAAAGAACTCATCACAAGCTTGTCCAGTCTTCTCCTATCCCCACCCCATGTTAATAACCAAGGACATGGTAATGTWACTACGGTTTGGGGTGGAGGGGTGGTAAAGCTTTGAAGACACTATATTTTAATATAAGCCAAACTGCATCGAGATTTCCGCCTTGATAAACGATGACGATAATTCTCCTATTGACACTTCATTAACTCCAGTTTGATTCTGCTGGATTTTCCCTCCGTGAGCGTGACTTCCTGTAAAGCCTTTTGGCTCTACCGACGGACAGACGGGAGGGGAAACGGGGATATTGTGAGTCGTGGCTGGGTCACGTGGGATGAAAGTCTTCCCCTCTCATCATATATTAAAAAGCTTTTCATCCCAGGTGCTGGGAAGCTTTACTAATTCATGGAGTTTTATCAGGCTGGCACATGTGAGACCAACAGCTCTCTGGATTAGCATCTTTAACACTGTTTTTTCTTTCTTTCTTTCTGTTCGCCGCTTTTCATTTCACTCCGTCAAACCGACCCAGTCAAGTGTGTTGCCCAATCTCGGTGTATTCGGATTAAGAACTCAACTGTCTCATTCAACCCTCTGGAATTCTGGTCAAAACAACTCTTTTCTCCAYGGCAAGAGGAAATATTCTACAGGATTCTAGTTGTTTTGGTGTTCTGCTTTGCAGCATGCGCTTCCAAACAGCAACTCAATTGGCTGAAAACAATCCACTTCAACATTATTATSTTTCCCCCGCTGTTATAGCAGCAATGTCATTTTCAATGATTGTCTATCAAGCTGCCTATCTCTGTCGGCACGACGATCCAGTTAATAACCATCGAGTTCCCTCCTTTTGGGCTGAGAAGTGAGACAGACAGTGTGTCACGCACTATGCCGACTGTCATTTCTATGGAAACAGAGAAATCTTGAGGTTCTGAAGAGTTCCTCCACAGCTCCATGAAGGATATTACCAGACAGTTCAGAGTATCAAGCTGAAAGTACCTGCTGCTATGACCCCTTCCCTCCCAGCTGCCCACCTTGCTGGTGAGAAAAAAAAATTACTGCTGCCCTTCCACTCAAATTTAAAAAAAAAGAAAGAAACCTCTCCTGGAAATCAATGTGGCAGCCCAATGTGCATTCACAATGGCCCTTTGATCAATTTATATTGAAAATACAATTAAACTGTCACAGGGGGAGAAAAGAAAGCCACATGTGCCTTCAGTGTGGTCACCAAGAAGCCCCGGAACATCAATAGCCAGCCTTTTCTCCTCTGCCCTCCTACGGTCCCAAATTATAGATAAAAAATAAAAAAGACAGAAAACATGACGCTATACCCATTAACGCTGAGACATGTGGTCCTTTCAAAAAAATAAAGCAACCTCTCATAAAGTGATGGTCGACAATAGCCCCTTATTTAAAAAGAAAGGGGGAAAAAAGAAGCTAGGTGCGAATGGTTGGTTGTTTCGTGTGTCCCCATGTGTCCCTGTGATGGACCTATGACCAGTCCAGAGTGTCCCCTGCCTGACTAAGGACATAGACACCAGAGTCCTGCAACCTCAAAAAGAATAGCAGGTAAAGAAAGTGGATGGATTCTTTTTTTTTTCTCCCAAGTAAAATAAAAAGATTGAGATTACCCACATTTCTGTGTGTGCACAAGAAAACAGCAGCTGGATGGTTTAGTTTAGCTTAGTGTAAAAAAATCTTACACATAAATAACATTAAATGCCTTAAAGTAAGATTATAGATTAGAGTAGGAGGGGCCAAACTGGGGAAATTACAAATCTAATCCTCATTTACAACTATGATGCAGACAATCTGTGCATAATCTTATATAGTGCCTACAGCTGGGTGTGGTAACCCTGCTTGGAGTGGTCTTTTTGTTTCATCTTGCCAATTTCATGCCCACTTCTATTTGACATCTAAAGTTAGATTTAGACATTTTTTTTTTACTTCAAGGGCAGGATTAACCCCAWTTTTTTTGTTAAAAGTGAGGGAGAAAAACCATAAGTTTCACCCCAACTCTTTACTTTACTTTTATTTTACTTCTAAATATTTAAATATCTAAATATCTTAAACTAAACTTAACTAAATATCTATGTATTTATATTTATTAAATATATCTAAATATTTACTTCTAAATATTTGACAAGTTTGTATTAAAATGTTTTATTAGCTTTTGGTAGAATTTAAATATACCAAAAATCTGTCAAAAATTTTCTGCACAAAACAGCTCAAATCTCTCAATGAACCCATTTGGGAACAGTGCATCTAATTCTCTAGAGAACCTAAGTGAATGATGCTTTCTTTTTGTCAGTACCAAAGATGTGCGAAGGTGTTTATTTTTATTTATTTATTTTTTTTGCTCGTTTGTTTTATTCAGCTCTTGGAGGAATAAGATGCTATTTCCCTCTCTCCTGCCCTCCCTTATCCTTCCCTGCTTGTTGCTCGGAGCCTTGTCTACGTTTTCATCCGAAACCAAAAATTATGCATTTATTTTTATGCATTTGGTTAGCTGGTCTCTTAATAAATTTTTGGAAAAGTTTCTTTTCCATGGGAGGACATGTCAAAGGTGGGATCTCTGTTCTGCTCTGTTCTGGATATGTATTTGGATTCTGATCACTGGATTCTACAGATTGGCTTGGTGGTCTCCTGGTGTTCTACAAAACAGTGTTGGTGGTTATTCAGGCCATTTCCTGGCTGCCTGACCAATATGACGGATTGCTGTACTATCAGCACTCAGACTTGTGCCTTGAGCGAGCTGGACTTGGTCTGCAAGCGGTTCTGCTGAGGGTCGCGGGCCAGCTGTGATTCCTGGACTTTGCTGGCCAGATGGAACTGATCTTGGAGAAGCTGAAAACGCAGCTTGGCAGGTTTGTCCACACTATTTGTCTGATTGGATTTTCTGCATTGGATGTACCAGCGGACATTAAGGCAGATGGAAAATAGTTATTGTCTTCCTGACCGAAAACCCTTCTTCTGTTCCCAAACAACTGATTACAGATTTCTCTCTCTCTCTCTCTCTCTCTCTCTCTCTCTCTCTCTCTCTCTCTCTCTCTCTC